GTTCGAAATCGAAGGGCCTGAAGTAATTGGGCCCGACCCATAGGAGCACTTTAGTAACGTGGGATACCCACACTGATTACCGAGCGGTCTTGAAAAAAATTCCTGGTAAAAAAGCAGATTCAGTTGCATTTCAGTTTTGTTAGATTCTGGTTTTTCATAAAGAATTCTGTCTTTTTTCGCACGTGCATATGCTTTAAAAACAAAACGCTTCCTTTGCAAATATCCCTAAAAATTTCGGACTTTTTTTGTTGATTTTGCTAGATAAATTAGTAGTATTGCTAAATTTCAGAACGCAGTACCTAAAAGACCAAAAACACCAGGTACGATTTTCAATAAAATTAATTGAGATACCACACATTTATGCCAAGTCGAAAGGGCAAAAATGAAAAAAAAAACCGATTTAAAGAGCAGTTTACAGTGCTCCAGCAAGACAAGTTTTTTCATAGAATCTAGGAAATTTTTAAATAATAACCGAGTGGAGTTGGAAGATATTTCCAAATTTTAACTCTGAATAGGCACCAACAGTCGTTTTCGAGCTAGAAAATAGGCAATCTCATCAGCTATAAGACTCTAGTTGAGTATGCTTCTTACAGCAGATGCTAGATTATTATAATAAATAATTAAAACAGTAATCAAAACAGAATAAGCAAATAGAATATGCAACAAAAATATGCCGTTTGTTTGACTTCATTCTAACAATTAATGAAAAACCTAAAGGGCCACTTAGACCTTCCAAACAAGCAATTCTGTACGTCTTATAACTTGGTAACCTGTCTGTGTTTCATCCCTGAGCTGTAAACATCCTTGTAGTATGTCGAAATAATTTTTTTCCAGCAGTTTCTTCATCCACTTTGGTTAATGTAATTCATAGCGTGGTTCTCCAAATACGCAGCTGACCAGCTTACCTAGTTGGGTTGACCAGTGCAGCATTGACTGATGGTCAGCTTGCTGGCTATCTTGATGTTCGTTTTGTTCGTTGAATGACATACGGTTCAAACATTTTTGACGTCAGAGACTCATTGGCAAATTTTTGGTCATTTCGAGCTGTCTGATGCATTTTGAGCGTTGCTACCTCGCACTTAATGCAGTCAGTTTTTTAAACAACGATGACTTATAGACTAGCAAATTTGAAAACCCGTATAAATAGATTTAAAAGATTATTCGTTAATAAAATTCACTATTTTTCTCAAAATAATATATAAAATTGTAATGGGTTGGACACATTTTCGTTTGTTATCTGTAGCGCAGTGTTTAGGGGCAAATCCATGAAACAGTTTTGCGGAAATCACGCTTTCGCTCTAAACTGCTTGCGCTTTTTATCCAGTTGAGGATCAAGGACTGGGGTGGGCAAAGAACAAAACAAATGCACTGAAACGTGGCCCCAATCGGCACATTTATCCTTTTAACAGTTATAAAAATTGCAGCCCCACAAGAAACGTGTCGAAGGAACGAAATTTTCGTGGAACTGGATGGTTTGTATTTGTGTTATGTTCACGTAGTCGGCGTTGTTCCAGTAAGTTTTGCTGTTTTTTTTTTTTTTCTGAGAATTTGGGTTGAATTTGGGCTTAGTAAGAAAAGCGGCACAACAATTTAACTGGGTGTAGGGGATAGGTGCATCTTTTCAGAAAGCGTCTCGGAAGCCTGGTGAATAGAACTTAATCTCTTCATTTTTTCTTACCACTGATGCAACTAGCAACTTCTCATTTCTTCTTTCTGCTTCTCATACTGACAAAATTTTACTCGACCGTTCAAGCATACGTGAGCTGTGATAACAAAAAGATAGTTTCATAAAACCATAACACTTTTATCAAAATATAAAATGTCCAAAGCCCACTTTTTTTCCAAATAAGCAGTAATTTATGACTTTCACGTGTTTTTTGTGTGTTAAAATGCCTGGACTTTTTTTATTGATAATTTGATTAAATGACAAGGAGTTAGAAAAATACTTTTGACGATTTCCTTGTGAGCAGCTCTCAGAAAGTACGGTAATCAGTAGCATTACAACCAGTAGGCGGAGCTTGTGCTGGTAAAATGCTATCACTTAGTCTACCTCCGAATGTCCCTTCCTCTCATAATGTCTTAAATGCAAAAAGGGCCGTCTTTTTTGGCTTTTAGTTTTTAGTTTAATTTAGACAAGAATTCTTCGACATATTTTTTTTGCGGAAAACATAAATCCGGAAAATTCCTGACTTTGTATTCGCATTCAAAATGCACTGCGCTGAAAGTCAAAATGCCTTCAGCTGCCTTTCCTTTTCCTGCTTACTTTATTTGTGGTTATGTGGACATTTCTTATCTCTTGCTGGAGAACATGTAGAACTTTACCCGCATAATTCTGTGTGATACTTTGCGAGAAGTCATTCACTGTTATTCATTACAAACAAGCAGTTTTGTAATCAGTTGTCAAAAAGATTTTTAAAACAAAAATTAACACACAACTAACGAGATCAATAAAGCACTTTTGTCTATTCAGTGATAATATTCTAGCGACGTCGAACAAGGCAGCAGCAGCGATAACCTGCAAACCAGATTTTTACTAACCTCCGTAATCACTCTCTATAAGAGACAGACATGCGCGGAAATAGCCCATATGGTACCAATTTTGGAAATAGATCGGAAGAGATTTTTGGGCGTGCCGAGTGACCGTAAACCAATATCAAAATGATTATTTTTTTTTGCAGATCGGTGATGTGACTTTTGCCGATACTTACACATGTCGGATGTATTCCGAAGAATATGGTCGTGAAGTGGGAAGATATCATCAACTTTCGCCTGCTGCTGTCCCAAACTGGCAGATGATACAACTTTTGCAAAAATACATTCTGAATGGTTAGATCTGGTCACTACTGCTGCAAATGAGTTGCCAGAATTTCAGGAAAAACAACGATTTTGACCAGTGCCATACCACAGCTCGTATTTCGGTGTAATCCACTGCATCCCCGTGGAATCCTGAGAATGAGACGAAGCTGATCCGGAATGTGCATCGAGCCAAAAAACATGATGTTGGTAGACATGGCACGGTGGAAAGTAGTACTGTTATCGTGTTATGGGCTGGAAGTTGGGCTCCGTCAGTAGAGTAAAATCAGTCCCTCTACAATCCGTTCATTCGTTTTAATGATAAAGAGGTACCGGCATGTTGCAATGAGTCAAATCCGAAATGAAGAAGCTATCGACAGTTTTACCAATGAATGGTTGCTGTTGGCAATTTTGCTACCACACGGGCTCTTTTCCATGGGTCTACTTCAAATAGATAGCGGGCACGGAAGGGTTTTGACACTGACGTGTAAATTTAAGGATTCAAAATCGTAAAGAAATTTCAGTTCACAAGCAATTTGAAAACGAAAATCATGGACTATTGGTTGGATTGTCGTATATGTATCATGATTATGAATGGAAGGATGAAATTGCTACCATAAATCCGGTTGAACATGATCTGATCAGGCCAGTTAGTGGATTCTCCGACTGCTATCGCTTTATGCTTTTTCGAAGTAACTTATAGTTTTCTTTGTTTACTATTAAAATTACCGACTTGTACCTCGGCAATCCTCGATCGCAGTCTGGTATCCTGAAATCCTTTACGTGATTTCTGTAGCTGATGACCATTACTGAGGAGCATTCGCGGCAGATTATGTGGAGAACAGTAACTGTGTAATGAAGCCTTGGGTCACAGTAACAACAACAGAACAATTGACAGATCCTTCGACTACGCGAGGCTTTACCTCGGAAATACTGTTCGATGATTTCCACTCCTAACTGTACATTTGACTGCATTTTTTTTGTGCAGCTCTGAGATGATACACAGATACGTCCATCGGCACATTTGGTATTTTGGTCGTTATTTCGGTTTTGGTACTTTTTACAGTATCTTATTCCTAGAAAATCTTGGTTAGGTTTGTGTTGAGCTAACGATTTTCAAATGTTATAGGTGATCCCAATTATTTGTTACCAGTGCCATGTAATAGTAAAAATATCACATATGACGTACTTTGCAAATATGTAAGTTTGCTTCTACTTATCATTTTTAAGAATTTTCGACACAGACACCT